ATCGCTTTGGAGCAACTTTCCCAAACAGCGTCACGAATTCCGTACGTCTAGTAAAAATAAATTGTTCGACACAGTCCACTCGCCAAGACGTCCTTTTCAATTATGACAATTTCTCGCTTATTCGCATATTCCTCTTAGCATGCTGCAAAACTTGCTTTCTCTGTCTCGGTCACTTCGGTTTACGACACCGAAATAATCGTTAGGGAATAAAATATACATTTCTGGATTCCTGCCTTGGTGTTAGGTACAACGTTTTAAGGAAGGGGTACGATTTCTTTTGTACGGGTGGCTGAGATCTCGTAATTCACGACACTTGGTCGATTAGCAGCCGTTTTAAATTACGTGCAAAGTAGACAATAATAGAACGAGAACACGGACTAACGTGGCTTGCCACGAGGTAAAAACATTTAACGCTTTTGCAGTTGTGCCACAACTGGGCTCGATGAGTGCGGTAATTTAACAGTAGGCAACTATTCTATGATGGGAACAGTGTACTTTATCTATATTTTATCTATAAAAGAAAAATGTATATAGGACCTAATAATTTAATCCATGATGTTAAGATAATGGGATATAACAGTTTAAAATTGAAAAAAGAAAAAATTAAATTAATACGAAGACACAATGGTTATTAATTAGTAGATATCTTTTAAATTGAAAAAAATGATGCATCATCTGAGCAAAGAATATCTATATAACGATTTTAAAAATATTATCATTTTTTTTTCTATAAATCGTTAAAATTTTTAAACACATCACATCACATGTTCCAAATTATTTTAATTTTGAATTCTCGTTTCAATGCTTCAACGAAGAAAATATACTTGTTCGGATAATAAAATAGGTTTGGTTTGAACGGTGAAACATTCAATTTGTAAAATATTTGTATAATACGACATTCGATTAGAACATTTAGATAATTGCTTTCCAAGTAATGGCACTTTTGCCATATCTGCATTGCCAAAGATAATATTAAGTAGAAAATACTTTAATAGGTGGATTATTATAGGTATATGCACGGCTGTATCCCACATATCGTCTTATTTGCGATTTTCTTTCGCGTCGAAACCCCTTTATCGCATCTTTTACAATAAATAGTTCCTTTGCAACGAATGTAATTATCAATGTAATTATCTTGCGGCAGATGCAATCCAACTGGTCGCCACTACGCGTCTACTTTTTTAATTTAAGAATCTTGAATCGCAAGTATTTTGCCGCTTATAAATACCATTAAACGCTTAACTCTATTAAATGCTTAATGTCGAACGATATAATTTACATTTATCTATATAAAACATTTTAGTGATCCAACCAATTATAAAAATTTTATAAATCGAATTTAACATAAGTGGACTCGGTATCTTGCTTAAAAAAAAAAAAAAGAAATCACCTTTTATTTAATAACTATTTTAATTTTCTCTTAAAATATTATTCCTAACGTATTTTCGAAATTTCTTCGTAAAATTGTATTTTACTTGTATCAATTGCCAGCCATTCTCATTATACGCATTAAATATTTCTTCATTGTTCAATGATTTAACAATTTGATAAATTATTCGGCAATCTACAAGTATGATAAATATAAAAAATAAATAAAAACTTAACTTTTATAAGATCCACGAATATCGTACATGCGTGATCTCTATATAACGATTCGACGATATAAAAACATTTTCCAAGAGATTGCAATTATTCCCTTTCGTATCGAAACAATAACGATTCCTTTATCTATCGAAATTGCGTGAAAATGTGAAAATCCTAAATCTAAAGCGAGGAAGAAAAGTTTTTTCAAAATCAGGCTTATTTCACGTGCATGCCTCTCATCGTATATAAATTCATTTTTAATAACGATTCTCGTAAAATACCTCGACCAATTCTTCCCGACGCGATGTTCCTCGCAACCTCTCGGCAGGAAGTAGCGAAAATAAACGAGTCGAAACGAAAATAAGTGTATGCCCACCCCCTGGTCTACCTGTTACGTTTTAAAATCGGAACGAATCGACAATGCGATCAAACCGAGTATCGAATCGAGAAGGCAGAGAGTTGGTGGTGACACACTTTATTCTAAACTTCGCGATAAATAAACAATTCGATTGATCGATTGTTCCGCGTTGTTTGCGTAACGAGAATTGGAGTCGTGGTATATAACAATCGGAACACACCCTGGTTTCGAGTTACGTCAACGCCAGTTGTCATTAGACGTTAACTATTGTCGCGTTTGCAAAGTGTCCGGTAATTGATTGCGATGGGTGGAGGGGGAGGGAAGAGGAATTTTCGATTAAATCGAATCGTTCTCGATGCGTATTTCGTATTATCGAAATTTGTATCGTGGTTATTTATTAATAAAGATGATGGTTTTCTCTTGTATTCTTAAACAGGTATCGAATATAAATTTCGATATTATAGGATAGATAGAAATATGATGAAAAAATATAGTGAGTGTATATCGTCGATACATGGAGATTAAATTTTTTACAGGACATAATTGAAGAAACATGTATTGATAATATAAATGACAAATATTTCCAATGATTATTACTAAAAAGGAAACACGCTGATACTTTCTTATATGATAAATCTATGATCAGATAGATTTAATTTTAGAAAGGAAAAGAGGAATTAGGATATTTTTAAAAGTGACAATTTTCTTTTCTTCCTTTCCAAGTTTTTTTTAATATTAAGCAGAACAGAGAAGTAGAAATTTAGATCTAGGAAAATGCGTGGTAATTATATTTTACAAGAAATTGTCTTCACAATAGAACAAAATATAAATCTACACGTCAAATTTCATCCTATTTCCATTGTAAAGAAATTGGCGTTAAAGAAGATGATAAAATGGGCCAAATGTTATATTACGTTACATCATCTTTGAGTTATAAAAGATTTAATACGTCATAAATTTTCACCTTTTCTTTCTTTAACTATATACAACTATGGACATTTTATCTTTTGTAAATATCTAAATTTCACTTATACACGTAATGAAAAGTGGATACATCAATTTTTACTATTATATTTTATCGCACATTTATTTAGAATAATAATACAATTCAAACATTTATCTAACCATTGTTATATGTAATAAAAATTATATGTAATAATTTTAAAAATAATTTTTTAAATATCGTTGAAGTATAAAATGTGAAGAGGATAGATTAATTTTCGTACATTCGAAATAAAATCGAAATTTATATTATATTATGAGTAATAAACTATAAAGATAATTATAAATTACACAAATCACAAATCGTTATTTAATATATGTTAACATAATATATGCAATAAGCGTCATATTAACGAGAAGATAGTCGTCTTAACACGTTCGTTATCGTTGATTAGGGAGAAAGTCAACCACAACATTCCTCGCTTTAATTAATAATAATAATAATAATAATAATAATATAATGAAATGTAATTCATTCTTTATATGTCATAGTTATATATGGCAATATTTGTCATACACGTGACATTAATTTTTAGAAGAAAATTGGGATGTGTCATGTACATTGTATCGCTCAAAGATATTAGAACACTTTTATTACGAGTATAAATTCTATTATTCATTATTGTGGATTTCTTGAATATATGAATAATTATTTAAATTTTCTGTACAGTTTTATGTACAGGCGTGATGTTAAAACTTGAATAAATATATTTTATTATCAATAAATATATACGATCGCGTGACGTTTATTAACTATATCGATAACCGTTCATAATTAACAGTAAATTCAAGGAATATAAAGAACATCACGAGCTCCAATATTTTTAACGTATTTAAATTATTTGTGCTGATCTTTGTGCAATCCAATGATAATTATTACGGTAAAAGTGGAATAATGAATATCTCTCGCATAAAAATAAAAAAATGTAGGTGTACAAATACGAACAACCTGCAAAAATGTTCTACTTTTCTGAAATATCCTGACATCTTTATGATATCGAGCAGCTGCATCTTAATACAGCCAATGCGAAGCGAGAAATTTGGGACGTTGATTTTTATCGATTAATCGGGGTGAGCTTTTTACATCACCATCCTTGAATTATTAGAGTTTCAGTACGGTTTCGATGAATTTTGTTCTTTCTTCTCTCTCTCCCTTTCTTTTTTTATTATTATATTTCATTTTTTTTATTCTACTTTTCATTATTTTCTTTCTTAATAATTAAATGGAATTTTTTTTTTTGTTTTAAACAATTAGCGCGCCAAAACTAATCTGAATAAATGTTAAACAAATCATATATTCGTGTTACTACTACTACGGCATACATTAAAAATTATATTCCTCCTTTTATTATTATCCCTTCTTTTCGTCAATCAGATAATTCGTTCGATATTCAATTCAAGAGCCACTATCGGAAATACGCTTTATGGGTTAAACACACAATCAACATATACACCCCATCTTATCTATTCGATAGAAAAACTAACAATCATTGTCAACAATTGGTAAAAAAAAAAAAAAAATATGATATTACGATAAAAGTCGAAATAATTAAAAGAACATTTCTTAGAGATTCGCTATGATCGTGACACCAAATATCCATTGATAATCTCTTACGTATATTATAAAAAATTTAAAATAAATAAAATTACACTGTTAGGAAAATTTCATTTTTCTATCAACTTTTTTTTTTATTTAAACTATTCGTGATAAAATTTCTTGGAAAAAAGATAAAGAAAGCTCCATTCTAGGAGTAATTTATTACTTTAACTTTTCGTTAGATAAAATTATCTCTTTTACAACTAAAAACCAGACTTTAACGTATAACTCATTACGTATAATCATGGATACGCACGTGCATTCTTGGTGGGCAATTTTTACAACTGATTCTAAACATTGAAACAGAAAAAGTTTACATCCTAACTTTTATATTCGCCTCGATATCGAATCTAGAATCAATTCCCGTCCAAAAATCGGAAGAAAAGGTATTCGCCTCGATGGAAAATATAAAATAACACGACCGTGAAAGATACATACGATAAACAAGCAAGCACTCACCCGTTGCAGACTGGGTCTGAAGCAACAGTCCGATCAACGAAACCAGAACGTAAGTATTGTACCGGGGTGCCACGATACCCCGTCGCAGGGTCGTCATCTCAGGCGGCCCCCGCCAGGTGCCCCCTCGAGCTGCCGCCGCCCCTGCGACCGCCTTCGGCAGCTTTGGCTTCTCGACTTCCGCCTTCGCTCCCGCCAGCTCCACGCCGCGTAGTCCTCGTGCTTCTTCACATCTCATCTGCCACGCCGCTGTCGCTTCTTCCCCGTGCGACCCTGTCCTGCGAAACTCTCGCCCCGAACCACGTTTTACCACGTATTGCCGGGCCGCCACCACCTCCACCTCTTGGACCACCTCGTCATTTAACACACCGTTTCGCTGAAACGTTCGATCGTTTACAACCACGATCCGCCTCGCGTGCGCGCCGCCTCCTTTCGAACCGACCTCTCTCCACTTCTATCCACTTGCTATACGCTCGTTGTATATATATATATGTATATATATATATATATATATACAACGTGTAAGTATATCCCGTGTTCAACAACTGCACCAGTTAGAAGATGGATGGATGGGCGCGCTATAGTTTTAGGCGACGAAAAAAAAAAAAAAAGGACCTTCCGAGAGAGTGTCTCGCTCGTTCCCTTATCTCCTCGCGTATCGTCCCATCTGCCCCCGAAATACGATGTCGAATCGGTGTCATGCGGCTACCCGCGCGAAGAAAGTTTCACAAGGACGACGCACGACTGTCAAGTGTATATGTATATATATATATATATATATATATATCGTTTTCCTTCCCTCCGCGAATTCCAGTCGGGGAAGAACGATAGGAAGCAACGATTCGATCGTGAGAGCAAGAACGGTAACATACGATATATGCCGGCGTCGAACGCGTAAGGAAACTTCACGAGCGGTGAACTGCACGAGAGAGACTGCACGCGACGACGGAGGAGGGAACAGGGCCCGTGTCGGGGATCACGTGTCCGGCGAAGGAAACTCACTGAACAGTCACACCATCCACGAGGAGAAGCACGCCGCCGAGAGGGGAAAAGGGCGTTCGGTGGAAGCCGAGGAATCGATTCGAAACACCTGTAGAAGAGGCGACGTGTTTCCGTTCCGTTTCGTTCCGGCAAACGGTCCCCAGCCTAGAGCAGCACCCAACAATATTCTGTCCTGTCACCGTGTGTGCACCACCACCAATCGCGTACTTTCTCGAGCTCCGTGCGTGTGTTTACGTACGTGTGTATACACATATACACGCGTGTATATATATATATATATATACTTGGCTTTTTTTCTCCTTCAACAGGCACGCGTCTTCCGCTTCCGAATTACGACGAGTCGTCCCATGTCGATCGTCCGACACATGTCACAACGGCGCACCATCCGTCCACCATCTCTCTTTATCCTTCCTCCTCTCCTATCTCTTTCCTCCTCTCTTTCTTACTCCTGCTAGCAGTCCTCGTGACCGGTACTCGTGCGAGGTTAATCTCGAAACGTCGGCCGCGACACGTGGACACGATAAGGCGCGAAACGCGTATCTCTGTGCCCGGCGAGACTCGTGAACGATCGGAGCCGGCTCCCTCGACCTGCCTCACTCGCCGATCCTCGTCGATCGTCCGCCAGGGAGTGAGCACCTCTCCCGATCTTATCTTGTCGACGACGACGACGACGACGACGACGACGAGTCGTTCGTGCGTCCGTTCCCTCGCTTTTTACTCTCTTTATATTCTCGTTCGTAATCCGCTCGACCGTTCTCGAGAACGAGCGCGGGTAGTTTCGTGGCGCGCAGATTCGTCAGATGGAAACCAAGCGCGCACGAGGCCGCCCGGCAGACTGAGAGTAGCAGTCGACAGTCGACAGTCGGCAGGCAGCAGCGGCAGCAGCAGCAGCAGCAGCAGCAGCTAGTAGCAGCAGCCAGCAGCCAGCAGCAGCAGTATACAAGGCGGAACGTTTCCCCGTGTGCCGAGCGAAGCTCTGCAAAAGCGGTCTGCACACGCGGCCGCGCTGTGTTATGTTGTGTCCCCACTTCCCTTCTTGAAGCGCGCGATCGCGGCTGCGGCTGCGGCGGCGGCACCGGCTCGCCTATCTGCCTGTATGCCTCTATGCCTTGCCTGTGCCTGCCTCCTCTATATCTGCCTGTATGCCTTGCCTGTTTGTCCGCCTGCCTGTCTCATGCATGCATGCATGCATTGCATGTTTCGCCTCCTTCTCTCCTCCACGACCTCTCCTCGACCACACTCCTTCTCCTTAGTCTACTACTCCTACTCCTCTTCCTTCTTTTCTCCTTCTCCTCGCTGATTCTTACCATCCTCCCTTCACCGGCCCCCGGACACACTGCCTTCCTTCCTTCCTCCTCGTGGCTCCATCGCCTCCTTCTTTTCCACTCTCTTACGCGCCCGATACCTCCTACGCTTTCCTTCCC